TCGAAACAATTGTCAACCAACACCAAGGTCAGAATTTTCAATACAAATGTCAAGACAGTTCTACTGTATGGGTCGGAAACTTGGAGAGCTACGAAAGCCATCATCCAGAAGATGCAGGTGTTTATTAACAGTTGTTTACACAAAATACTTTGGATCCGTTGGCCAGACACTATCAGCAACAATCTACTGTGGGAGATAACGAACCAGATGCCAGAGGTTTAATAAATCAGGAAAAAACGCTGGAAGTGGATAGAACACACATTGGGGAAAGCACCCAACTGCGTCACAAGACAAGCCCTCACATGGAATCCTCAAGTCCAAAGGCAAAGAGGAAGACTATGGAACAAATTACGCCGTGAAATGCAGACAGACATGAGGAGAATGAACAACAATTGGATGGAACTAGGAAAGAAGGCCCAGGACAGAGTGGGTTGGAGAATGCAGTTCAGCGGCCTTTGCTCCATTGGGAGTAACAGGTGTAAGTATGTAAGTAATATTAATAAAATGTGTGGTGTTAACTGTTCGGGCAGTAAGTGATAACTATCATGCTAAGATTAATACCAAGGGGAAATTTTCCCTTTACATTTATCACAGCAATAAACTATCAACTACCTATAACTCAACAGTATAAATATAAACTTGGAACATTTGTTGCTTTGATATAGACTAAGATTTGTTTTGGCTTTGTTCTGTGAGTTAAATAAACTTACATAATGTACTCCCCTGCATTTTTATATGTATACGTTAGCCCTATCTTCGAGGAGCAGCTTAAGTAATTTAATTTAATTCCTCTTCTTTATTGTAGAATGAGAGGAGATCCGTGTCTTAAAAACTATTTGGGTGCAATGCTTTATCGTCTTGCTCCTTGCAGAAATAATGATACATGAAGCTGTCATAAAGAGACTTCATAGAACACATTACGCCGAGAAACGGAGGCAGACATGAGAAGAATGAACAACAACTGGACAGAACTGGAAAAGAAGGCCCAAGACAAAGTGGGTTGAAGAATGCAGCCTATGGTCCATTAAGAGTAACAGGCATAAGTAAATAAGTAAGTAAGTAAGTAAGTAAGTAAGTAAGTAAGTAAGTAAGTAAGTAAGTAAGTAAGTAAGTAAGTAAGTAAGTAAGTAAGTAAGTAAGTAAGTAAGTAAGTAACTAGCATATTGAGTTACTGAGTATCACAAAGATAACAATTCATTTGTATATTATTTACTTGTTGTTTTTTCATTATCAAAGTAAATCTCTATGTCTAATCAACAATCTCAGTTATGGTATTTCATCAAGTCATCTATACATCTATTCTATCTATCTACTTCGAAAAAGAAGAATGAAAAGAATGAACAGAAACTGGAAATAATTAGACGGCATTGTCTACAACAGAATTCGATGAAGTATGCTAGTAGGTGGCCTATACTCCTCAATGAAGGGTGACAAGCATAAGTAAGTAATTATATAATTCATATATCTAAGAAATATTTGTTTTACTGACCAGACAATAATTCGATAACTTTTTCATCCTCATTTATAAATGTTTTTTTCATTATGGTGGTTTATAAAGATTATTATAATGTTACTGAAACTACAACCGGACCTTAGTTAGAAAACTACTGAAAAGACAGTTGTTACGGAACTACTTAACAGTACGTATTCATGATCTTAATAAGAACTGAACTCAGAACTATCAGGTCTTGAGGTGACTGATTAATTTTTAAACTAATCAGGTGATATTCAACAGTCTGAAGCTCTAACTTTAATCGATTCGTGACATTGGACAACTATCATTCAGTAATTTGAGAGTTAGTAACTAACCTAGTATCATCGAGATTACCTGCTTTAATTACAATCTTATTGTATGTATTTCAAATGAAAAAAAATTTATAAATTCATTTTCGTATGGTGTGTTAGAATCTTTTTATTGATATTTAAGACTGCATTTGATCAGTCTCTTATTGGCATATGTGCATCCTGTACTGATTTTATCGATATTGCGTTAAATCACAAGCATTATAAGCACAGATGAATGGTGGCCATCAGCAGAATCCAGAATACGCGTTTCGTTCTATTTAGGACTCGTCAGCCGGATATACCTGTATCTCACAGTTGATATTCACCCAGTACTGTTTACTTCAAATATTATCACTTTATCCACTTAACTAATTACTCCAGATAGCCACCAGTTTGCGCAATAGGGTGAAGCTTAATCTATTTTTTGTATTTGGATACAGGTACATCCAGCTGATTAGTAACATGCGCCCTGAATTCCACTACTAGCTACCATCCATCTCTATTTTCCTAATTAAAAAAAGCTTACTGCTTGGATAATTTTCAGAATTGATTATTTCTACAATATCACTTAACGACTAACATTTTAATTAAGTTAGGTCTTTAAACAAACGCCAGAGGCAGTAACCATGAGTGAAATATTAATTAACATCAGTTAATGAATCTCAGCAACAACAACAACAACAACAAAAATTATGGTGGGAAATAAACTATTGACCTTTAAATTAAGAAAAAAACGAAGTTAATTTTGTCTGAGTTCATTAAAGTTGTGATTAGTATGTTTTATTTGTTATTTATAAAGTTTGTTTAAGGAATTGATGGCAATTGTTCCATCTTATAGTTTTAAATTATGAATTGGTCTTAGTAAAACTATTTGACATCTATTTTGTTATTATGTAGTGAATGACAACACAAATGGGAACAATCGAATGTATTCAGGCGTAATATTACAGAATATGAAATCTGAGAACCATACAGTAAATACAACATTTGCAATCATTCACTGTTCTCATTCATTTTTTCTTCGATCTTCTTAACCTTCTACTGTTAGGTGTATCACTCTGGATTAATGATACATACTACATCAGTAGCACACAACACAATAGTAAAGTACTCCTCAATAGTGTACATCCACTAGCCCAACATAGCAAATCGAACCTAGAATCATTGATGTAAACAAGCAAACGTTTAAAATATATACTACTGAGTCAGAACCTATTAGTGTACATATCTAGTTTCAATCAGTTCATGATTTGTTTTCACTTCTTCGCTTAATACACAATCATGAATTAAATAATTGTTAAATAAAGAGTTTTAATGTGCTACAACCTTCCAATTGTATATTGCATAACTTCTATGATTGTTACTCACTTATTTCAATGTACAGCGTATCTAGCTGTTATATCTCGATGAGAATATTGAACGGTAACTGTTGGGATCTATTTATGAATTAACACTATACGTATATTTTTGTCGTATAATTTTTAAGTAACTAAGCTATTCATGTCCGTCTTCCGCTTATCAAAAGCTTTATTTTAACCCATAGACTATTATTATACGATTTATCGTTATTGAGTTCTGGTCAGTCTATTAATTACAGTCAACCACAACTACAGCCAATATTGATAAGAACTTGTACAAATGCTGTTTTTTCCTATTTTATTGTACGATGTGGTCTGTTTGGCTTGTATATAGACCCAGTATATTCGAAATGCAAGATTCATATTGTGGATGCTGAGATTGATGTTGTGGACTTAGCAGACAGGGCTAGTCCGGAAGAAGAAGAAGAAGCGATAAGTAATGCAGACTGCTCGTACGATGTTTATGCGTCATTGGTTCGGTCGATAAGTCACAATTCTCCAATTGGTGGTTTCATTATGCTATATATTGATAGGGGCAATAGGCTACAAGTTATAACATGAACCATTTTTTAAAATGCTGTATTTTGATTTTACGTAGTAGTTTAAATTAAAGATAAATATAAGTTGGAATGTGTTCAGCAGCGATGTATCGTTTTACATTTACTGATGGAAACAAGAAGATAGAATTACTCAGTTATAGCATTTGTGGTTTTTTATCAAAGTTGACTTTTATTCAGTTCGAATCTACTCATCATATGAATTACTTCACACAGAAATTCTCAAGAATCTAGAGAAAATTGTAACATTTTATCCGATAAACAAGGTCATTACTATTATTTATATTCTCCATTGTTGATCACTTCTTCTTTAAAGATACCTGATACGTGTGGTTATATTTCTCTGTACTTGTGAAATTATGAAGAAATGTTTTAAGTGTTTGATTATTATCAGTTTGAATCCTGTGAGTGGGATCTTGGATGCACATCGCTGAGTTGTCCCAATAGGTTGAAACTGCTTTCCAGTGCTTATGGGTTTTCAATGGGTGTTTAACATCAATCGATTCATAATCTCAATCAAAACATTTTTGATTATTGTTGTTATTGAATATTAGTTAGTAAAAATTTTCTTGTTACCCATATTTTGTGTTTACAGTATACCTGGTTAGTTTGATTCTATTACATCAAATCCTATTCCCATCACATTTGTGATGACATAACAAATTTTTTATCTGAAGTCACAGATGATTACAAATACTATTTAACGTCATTAGAATCTCTTTCCAATAAACCGTTCATTCCTAAACATGATATTCTAGTCGTTCTATCGTCAACGAAAACATTAGTATGAACAACCGGATAGTATTTCAATATAAAATTACAGAATCTCTTAATAAAATGTAAGAACCATATAATAAATAATTCGTTTTCAAAATAACTATCAAATTGTCTCAGAATTCATTGTTCTTTCGTTTCCATACTAATCATTCTTTGTATTTGTTCTCTTTTTATGAATTTTCTCAACCTTCTACCTTTCAGGCATTTTACTTTCTATTGATGATACATACTATTTATATTTGACAATATTAGTAGTACACATTATATTTCGACTAAGAATGTTTTCAATGACTGATCCATATTATTATAATTATTACAACAAATATACTTTCAAAACAATACACGAATCATATTTTTTTCCCCTCCAAATACTTAACTCTTATAATTCTTTAATATATTACATATTTTTTTTTATAAATTTATACTTCCTTATCGCTGATTGGTTATTTCTGAAATAACCAATAGAAATTGATGACACCATGAAAGGTAATTTCAAATCGTTTGCATTTTTTGGGGAAAAAATCATTCATACACTTATTATTATACTAAGTACTATCATCCATTTATACAATTGACTTCATTCCAATTCAATATACTAAGAGAAATTATTCTTAATTTTTTTTCCTTTGGCAGAAACGTTTTTAATAAAGAAAAAACGGTTACATCATCAACAAACTGCATTTTTGTTGTTTCCATCCATAAAACCGATTACATTAGAACATTAGAGTGTTAAAGAAATTTTAAGTAATCTTTGTAATTTATACAAGTAATCACATATCTATAGATAGATACACGCACGCACACACACACACACTTACAATTACACTTGGATACACATTAGAAAAAAAACGGTGTAATATGTGCATAAATAAACAAAAGCTACAATTCATTAGTATTTGGTTATTAAATTTATTGATTGAAATTGGATTGTGCAGTACAGTAAGTTACTTTTTTCTTTTGTTCTTTACAAGTATTTTATTGTTATAATCATTCTTTAGTAATGTGATTTGTTTTGTTTGTTTCTTTTAACCAACACATTGTAAGGTACACTCTATTACTCTCTGTCTCTGTGTGTGTGTGTGTTGGGTAACTTATCTATATTCGAGATATTTCAGCGGTTAAGTAAAAGGCATATATACATAATTTGTGATGAATGTATTTTTGTAACCGATAAAATGTACAGTTTCTATGTGTTTTTTTTAAACTCAAACTGAATTAATTGAAGTTAAATATTGAAACCGTTGAATACTGGCCGAATCAGTGGTCTGGAAGTTTAGCGTTCTTTTGCAAGATCGAAGATCTTGCGTTCGAATACGGCTTTCGAGATCATAGATGCTCACGGTTGAGGAGTCTCGTATTAAGGCAAGACGACCGTACAGTCCTTCCAGATTTTCAACTACGGACTAAAATCGGTTGATTCATGATCTCAATCAAAAATCAAACTGAAGAATTTAGCTAACGAATGACTACACCATACAAATTTGATCCGACTATAAATGATTATACATTAGAAATTTCGCTTTATGAGTTAAAGTCTTTTATATTTTATCAAAATAATATTACTATCATTAGTACTGTTTGGCGTAAACCTTCCTGATTTTACACAAAAAACATGTATCTAATAACAACAAACATGATAAATAAAGTCTTTGATCTTAACAGTATAATTGTAGTATATACTACTGAAATTAACAGCTATCAGTAGTATGTATAACCAATCAAAAGTGAAATGCTTCGTAGCAGAAGTTTAAGAAGCCCGAAGAAGAGCGAACGAGAACAGAGAGTTATTAATATAGAAATGAAGGAACAATCCAGTCTGAGACAATTGATAGACATTTTGCGAATAAAGTATTTACTGTATGATACTTAGATTTCACTAACAGGTTATATAATCGTATATTGAAATACATTCGCTTGTCCCCTTTAATGTTCTCATTCACAACTACTACTACTACTACTACTACTACTACTACTACTACTACTACTACTACTACTGACGACCTTCAGACACAAGTGAAACATCAATTTTTTTGTCGATACTGAAAAGAATAACTGTTTTTATATATCAAAAAATTACTCTAAGGCTTTCTCATTTAATTTAAAATACCATTACCTATAACGAACAATGTTAATCACTAACTTGATTATTTCATAAAAAACAAACAAACAAAGGAGTAAAAAAGTATTTAACAAAAAGACATTTTTCAAATGATTAAACAAATACTTAAAATAATATTATCTCTATCCTTTTAAAATAGATCATCTGTTACCATGGTAACACAACTATACGTGTCAATGTTGTTGTCAATGTTATGCCAAATTAAAAAAAATCACCCGAAAAAAAAGTATCTTAAAACTACATGAAAAGATTTCGGTTCTTTTTTTTTTCTGGTTTAAATATATGGCTTTGCCAGATTCACTATTATATCACCTTTATTATTTTTTTCTCCAAAAATAAACATTGAATATTGAAAAATGTCAAGTTATTTGTTCAGGATAATGTTGTTCAATGTACAATTTGGGTTATATTAATAATAATAATAATAAATAGGAAACCATAATGACCAATTTAATAACAATATGAACATTGATGTAATTCAATGCTCATTCGTTATTCATGATTGTCTCCTGGATGTATATACCTGTATATTACTGTGTATAGCCAGGTGATTCAGCTTTAATCACTTCAAAATATGACTTAGTATTCTGTACTATACTAATATTAATATTAATATAATAATGAGTAGTATATTTGATTGGATCTATACATTGTAAACAAATGATATTAGTTTTAAAAAAAATTATTGATTTTTTTTCTTTTCTTTTCTCCTTGTTTTTATTCTTCTTCTCAGTAACTATTTACCTAATGAAGTAATCATAATACTAATATTATCCACAGGAATATTTATTACTAATGATGGTTAAATTTATTGAAAATAGAAATAGATTAAAATCAAATGGATTGATTATGATTAGCGAATGAATCATTTAATAGTTGAATTCGTTGGAAACTTGGAACTATTCGACGTCTGTTTCATCTTAATATGGGACTTTGATGAGACTATAATTTATGGATAACCTGTGAGGGACGCTAGACTGACCTTGAAAGTGTTGACCTAATGACAAGAACCAAATGAGGGTTATAAATCTGTGTGAAGAATTATAATTATGATTTACACTTGATGATTAGGAATTAAATGTTGGGTTCTCATCACGAACTGACATCAACTATAATGCCAAAACTTTATTTATTTAAATGGATAAGTAAATTTTACGCCAAAATCCAAGACCTGTTATCTTATACGTGATTGGTTTGTCTATAAATTATGGTCTCGCCGGGACTACTCAACAGTGCACATCCACAATCCGGCTTACGAACACAAACCCAAGTCTTATCGGTCACGCTCGCGAACATTTAACGTCTAGACCACTGAACTGGCATCCAACGGTATTAATGTCTAACTTCAACCAATCCACGTAATTGCGTCACCGTCCATGACTGTGTTCAGTGAGTTAGAATCTCACAACAGATCTTGTTCAACTTCACTGGTAACAGTTTCTCACTAGAAATAATATGCTTCACAAGGGAAGGTCTCGTTATCCTATTTGATAACATTTTCAGCATATACATTGAAGTAGATAGTAATGATCAAGGCCGTGAAACATGAAACATCAGGAGTAAACCATCCAAACTTAGAGAACACAGATTACTAAGGAATATTTAACCCGAAAAACATATAAGTATGAATCACTTGTCCGCTAACTAATGAACAATTGATAGTCAATATTAAAAAAGTCATCCTTTGCTTTCAATCGTTATGAATGATTTATTCAACATTAAGTAGTTGCATTCAGTTTGCATTTTCTTGGATATCAATATTGTTTCATTTGTATTTACTTTAAAATCATTTTTACTGTAGTAAACGAGAATACCAGTGGGTGCAACCAAATGTATTTGAACAAAATTAGAGAATTTGAGAAACATACAGTAAAACTTTATTTACAAACTGTTCATCAATTATCTGAAACTTCATTGTTCTTTCGTTTCCATAGCAATGATTCTCTGCTGTCATTCTTTTTTGTTCGATTTTCTTAAACTTCTGTTGTTAGGCATTTTACTTTCGATTGATGGTACATACTACTAATATCTGTCGATATCAGTAGTACACTACAATTATTCAAACTTCTTTGATATCGATCATGTTCAACTGATAATGTAGGATAACTTAAACTGATAAAAATTTGATCCAGGCTATAAATTAAATATAACTGGTCATATTTTAAAATCTACATTTTATCAGAACATTTGATTGTAGGAAGAAGTGAAACATTATATTCAACCGGGTCTGTTGAAAGATAGTAACTCACTAAAGATTATAGTGGATATGTTGCTCAGTTTCGTAGATTAATTGAAGTTAGACATTAACACCATTGGATGCCGAACAGCTCAGTGGTCTGGAGATTAAGCGTTCGCGCGCAAAACCGATAGGTCCTAGGTTCGAAACTCGTGGATGCGCACTACTGAGGAGTCCCACAATAGGACGAAACGGCTACCTAGTGCTTCCAGGTTTTCCATGGTGGTCTAGCCTCAATTGACTCATAGCCTCAACTATTGAAATAACTATGTTATTCACAAAAACCCTTCCGATATTAGAAATTAATAATGTGTTAGATTTAATCAAAACGTGTTTTACTTATACTTTTTACATTATTTTATAGATATTTTCAATAAAACTTAGGTTGTATGTATTGGGTTGTAAAGAGTGTCGAGATTTTATTAAGATCACGAAACAATCAATATTAGACGATCATTAAAAGCACGAAAGTACTGAATGACCTTTTTGACTTACTATAGGACGGCTCAACAACACCGCCCCACAACCCCGCATGCAGGACTCGAACCAAGGACCTTCGGTTTCATTTGAATTTCTAGACCACTAAGACAGCATTAAACGATCCATTGTCTCTGGTAAGTAACTTCCTCACACTCGGCACGGTTAACTCTACTAGACAGAGCTTGTTACTAGAACTCCGAGAATTTCATCTCTCAGTTAGTAAATAGTGAACACATGTTGATTATTAGTAGAGGATTGTGAAAGTTGTTCATCTTTAATTGAGATCATGAACGGATGGTTTAACATTGATCAACTCATGATGTTAACGTTGATCGGATAACCTATTTAGTAAACAATGAACCAAACAAACATGTACCTAATTATATTCGACAATTTTGATACTTGATTAAATGCCTTTGAAAAAGTTTTAACTAGATTGACAGGTGAAAAGTTGGATTCACCTCAAATTCATTCGTTGAGACTTTACAAATATAATATTAATATCAGATGGGTTTTTTTTTGTGGACATTGTAGTAATTTCAATGGTTAAGATCATGAGTCAGTTGAAGCTAGACCACCATGGAAAACCTGGAAGCCTTGATGCCGGCTCAGTGGTCTAGTGGTTAAGTGCTAGCGCGCGAAGCCAGTAGGTTCTGGGTTCGAATCCCACAGGGGGCGAAGTCATGGATGCGCACTGCTGAGAAGCCCCACAATAGGACGAAACTGCCGTCCAGTGCTTCCAGGTTTTCCATGGTGGTCTAACTTCAACTGACTCATGATCTTAACCATTGAAATATAATATACTTCCTCATTTATAACTCACATCAACTCAGCGCCCAAATACTGTGAAACTATTTAATCAAATGTAGACAAAAGTTTATGTAGAAAGATTATAATACTAGATTACGTAATACGAATAGTAATAATAATAATAGACGTAATAAGTTAGTAACGAATTATAATGTGAGTGTAGGAAGGTGATTAAAATGTTTTGTTACATTAATTAATGGTCATTAAAGGTCATAGAGGTGTAAATGACAAGTAAAGTGATATCATGAGCAATTATGAATAAAATTATGAGAATATGAGAAATAAGTAAAGAGG